TGTAGCCCCCGCAGGCCCAGTTCCGAGGGATTTTGCCCTAAAAAGGGTGCGGGGCAGAGGGAGACGGGCTCCGTGCCTTCCCCGCGCACGGATTCCGTTCCCCGGTATTGCTAAGTCAGAACCAGTTTTTTAGAAAAGCGGAATATTTCTTTGCCGAGGTCTGGTTGGCAGGTGCGAGTGCTTAGGATAGAAATGTCGAGAAAACGCTCGCATCTTGCGCTGCGTTCTTGATTGAAAAAATGGTTTGCTAGCTTTTCAGCGTCTGCAGAATATTTTCATTTTTGGTAACAGTGGTGTGGCTTAATTCTACAAATTCTAAGTTTAAGTGTGACCAGGGTTTAAGAGAATCGTATTTACCTCCTAAATCGTTAGCGGTTTGGGCTATTTCGCCCGTTTCCTATTTTCCTTCCCTCCTCCTCTTTATAACCGCAGCTTTACCATTGCAAGAGTCCTCACGCGGTGCATTGGTTCAGTTAACGAATATCTGTGAGGTGCCTACTACGTGCCAGGCAGTGGTCAGGGCAGGACTTGCAGCTTTCTTGGAAACGGGCCATTAACCTAGTAGGAGATGATACTGGATGCTAAGGACAGACGTTAAGGGAAGCGGGGGATGGGGAATGGGGCACCGGCCGAAATTTTGGCTGGAACGTTTCAGGGCGTCTTTTTTTTTTTTCTTTTTTTTATAACTAACGTTTGAGAAAAGACCTGAAGGATGTGAACACTGCTTTCAGTCAGAGGGACAAAGTGCCAAGGCTGGGGTACGCCTGGGATTCATACCGGTACTGCCAGGGGGCCTGTGGCTGGGCTCGGCCCCAGGGGAGACCAGTAGGTGACAGGGACAGGTGAAGGTTATGAGGACTTCGGGTGTTCAGACTGCATAAGATTGGAGGATTTTGAGCAGAAGGATAACTAGGTGGCTTACCTGTTTTTCTTTGTAGGAACTGAAAAAGAAATTTGTTTGTTGAGGGCAAGAAGATGTAAGCGATATAAAAATCAAAAGTTTATTTGGCTTTAATTGGCTTTTCGTTTTCTTGTTAAATGGAAGGGGGAATAACAAGAGAAAGTAACAATAGAAAAATCAGAATTTATATCCCAGTAGCAGCCTTTCTGACAACAGAACTGTTCTCTGCTGACATCGCTTTTCTTATCCTCTGGAAGGCTTGTTTCTATTTTCTTCTCCTGTGGTTAGGTGGCAACTTCCTTTAAATTTTAACTGTTGTCACCCTGGCGGGATAGCTCAGTTGGTTAGAGCGTCATGCCCGTGCACCGAGGTTGCAGGTGCTATCTCCTGATCTCTGTTAGGGCACATACAAGAAGCAACCGATGAATGCATAAATAGGTGGAACAACAAATCCGTGTTTCTCTCTCAATCCATCAATAAAAAATTAAGAAATTTTAAACTATTATCATGAAAAATGCTTTGAGAGGAGGATTCAATGGTATCATACCTTACAGGAGACCACTATACACAGAGTGAGTAGAATCCTATGATAAATGAGATGACATTAAATCAATCATAAACTCAGAGGAATGTGTAGAAAACCTTTTTAAATGGGCCATAGTTGCTGATATAAGAAATAGTATACCATAGATCAGGGGTGGGGAACCTTTTTTCTGCCAAGGGCCTTTTGGATATTTATAACATCACTTGCGGGCCATACAAAATTATCAACTTAAAAATTAGTTACGAAAAAAGCTCCTAGATTTATTGGATTTCAAGACTTGATCAGATTTCTGTAGACTTAATTAGTATTGAAATAGCCTGTATAAAAGGTGTTTATTATTTTTAAAAACCAGCAAATGTGTATTCTTATCTGTATTTGATACATCTATTCTTACATTTATCTAGATTACTTTTGCAAAAATATATAAGAAACTGAACACTGATTGCTCTAAGGGAGCAAATAGGAGACTAGGAATGGGGTTTGGAAGGGTATACCTTATTTTATATATCTTTTTTTATATTTGAAATCCCCCATGTATGTATTATTTATTAAATTTAAACATAGAAAAAGAAATTATTCATTTCAACTGTATACAGTTTTAAAGATCTGTTCTCTTTGCAGTGATACCCTGAGACAAGATGGGAAAAGGCTGCAAGGTTGTGGTGTGTGGCTTGTTATCTGTGGGGAAAACAGCAATTTTGGAGCAGCTCCTTTATGGGAATCATACTATTGGTAAGATCATTTTTCTGTAGTTTCTCTATAGGTTCTGGGAACTGCTACGGGTCTTTTGTTGGTCATACTTACCTAAAGATGGGGGACAGTACACAAAAGTGTAATCCAGAGGGACCAAAAGGATCATAGAAATCTACAGATTGAGGGAGGAAAAAATGGGGGAGAGAAGACAGACATTTTTTATGATAGTGAAATTCAAGAGTGCTTGCTGTTATATCTTTTATATATATGTAGTTTCCTATATATTTACATAATGAATAGTGGTCTCGGAGTCATAGAATCACGGACTTAAGAAAACAAGAACCCAGGTTGCCTGCCTCAGTGGTTGAGCATCGACCTATGAACCAGGAGGTCACGGTTCCATTTCTGGTCAGATCACATGCTTGGGTTTCGGGCTCAATGCCCAGTAGGGGGCGTGCAGGAAGCAGCCCATTAGTGACTCACTCTCATCCTTGATGTTTCTCTCTCCCTTCCCCTCCTCCCCTCCTCTCTCTCTAAGATCAATAAACATATCCTCGGGTGAAGATTTAAAAAAAAAAATACACTGAAAGATCTCATTATTTCAAACATGACTTTCCAATGCTGCTGTATAGGTTTTCATAATGGAAAAAGCAGCTGTTTTCTGCAGTATGACCTAATTCTGTGATTTGGATTATCTCATTCTTTTCTTCATTCATTGAGTTACATCATTACAACAGCCTATAGGAAACAGGCTGTGATGAGGCCTTGTGAGAGCAGAGGTGAAGAAGGCAGCATCTTTGGCTTTAAGGAGGTCATGGTTAGTAAGGAAGACAAATATAAGTTAGAACAAAATGAGGTTTGTGTTGGAGAGAGAAGTAGCATCATAGATTTTCGAAATATCTCTGGTAAGTAGCTTAGAGCGTATTTCTATCTTACTTTTATTAACTATTTTGATGAGCTCTGCTTCTCTTTCACTGTCCCAAAATATTTAACAATTTTGGTCAAATCCATATTTGGTTTTTATTATGGTGTCTGTGCCAGCGGTTCTCAAACATTTTGGTTTCTGAATCCCTCCTGTCACAAATGCTGCACTATTGGTTCTTAATTTTTTACCTCCAGATTCTAATTTATGTCTGTGCAAAAAATAAATTATGCTGGGGAGAGGAGCAGGGAGGGAAAGAATCCTTTTACCCTCTTAAAACTCCAAACAGCTTTTGTTTATGTAGGCTGTATTTTTACTGTATTAGAAATTGAAACAAATTTTTAAAATAGTACTTAAAATAATACATATCAAATGCTATAATTTTTATGAAAAATATATCTTCAAAAAAATTTAGTGAGAAGAGCATTGATTTACATTTTTGACCATCTAATGTCCAGCGTAATAGAAAGCAGCTGGATTATATGTCTACTTGCTTTTGTATTCAATCTGTTGAATGTTTAGTTGAAATACATAAAGGAAGTCTGGCCCTTTCAATATGGAAATGCATATTCTTCAATCCAAGTTATTTTGTTGATGCCTTCCCTTCTGTGTTTTCTTCTCTTTCTGGAACTCTTTTTGGGTGCTGGACCTTCTAGACTAGTAACCTAATTTTTTTCTTTTCTCCTGTTTTCCATCTCTCAGTATTTCGTTCCACTTTTTAAGTTTTTCCTTATCTTTATCTTCCAGCCTTTATGTTGTTTTCACTTATTAGTATCCTGTTCTTATTTCATGGATGCACTATCGTCTCTCTTTGAGTATATTGGGTAGTTTTCTTGTTGTGAGCTTTCGGTTTTTGCAGTCTTTTTTCTCTAAGGTGTGTTCTGACTTTTGGCCCCCCTTTCCCTCAGGTATCTGGTAATCCTACGTTGTCTGTTCACAATTAAGATGGAGAACTAAAGAGTTCATTGAGCCCAGCTGGGCATGGCTCAGCTGTTGAGCATTGACATGGGATCCAGGGGATCGGGGTTCGATTCCTGATCAGGGCACATACCCCGGTTTCGGGCTTGATCAGTCACTCTCTCATCATTGATGTTTCTATCTCTCTCTCTCTCCCTCTCCTTTCCTCTCTCTGAAATCAATAAAGATACATTTTTTTAAAAAAAGTTCATTGAAACTGTAAGCATGTGGATAAAATTTTTTTTTTTAAATATATCTTTGATCTCAGAGAGAGGAAGAAGGAGAGAGAAACATCAAAGATGAGTCATTGATCGACTGCCTCCTGCACACCCCCGATTGGGGATGGAGCCTGCAACCCGGGCATGTGCCTTGACTCAGAATCGAACCCTGATCACCTGGATCCTAGGTCGACGCTCAACTGCTGAGCCACGCACGGCCGGGCTGGATAGAATTTATGACTGAGCTTCATAGGTGACCTGGGTAGGGCATTTGTTGGGGAAACCTAAATGTTACCACATTTAGGATTTTACCTTTGGCTTTTTTAATCCTCACCTGAGGATATGCTTATTGATTTTAGAGAGACAGGAAGGAAGGAGAAAGGGGTGAGGGAGAAACATTGATGTGAGAAACATCAATCGTTCACCTGCCATACACCCCCGATACACACCCCGATTGGAGATCAAACTCGCAACCTGGGAATGTGCCCTGATCAGGAATGCATTTTACAAGGATCACTCAGGCAAGAAAGGGACTGAAGTTGGGCATTATGAATTCACTCATTTAGCAAACATTTACTTAGGACTTACTATGTATGTAAGTCAATTTGTTATTCCTCAGAGCTATCATGATAGATTAGCCACAGTTCTGGCTCTCCAGGAGTTTATACTCCAGCTTTGGAGGGGACCAATATAGGAAGATTTAAGCATTAAATGGTATTTCCTGTACCATAGGAGCAGAAAGGAGGGAAGCGGATAATCAGGAGAGGATCCATGTTGTTGGCATTTGAGCAGTCTAGAAAGGATGATACAAAAGGATGATACAAGGTGCTGACCAAGTGTTTAGCGAACTGCTGCAGTTCAGGTGCTAATAACACACTGGTGGGAAGGAGGCAGTGTATTGAGCAGGTTTCAGCAGTGAAGTGGCTGAGGTAACTTCCACACACACTTTTCTTGTTTGAAGAGAACTCTAAAACCTGCCCAGGTGGGTGGTGATCAAGGGGAGAAAGCAGGAGGAGGAACAAGTATGGGGAGGAAAGATAACAAGTTCTGTTAGTTTGAAACACTTGCAGGACATTCACGTAAAAGTGCCCAGTAGGTGCATGGGGATTAAAGCCTGGTACTCAGGCTCAGACTGGGCATATAAATTTTTGAGTCCCATAAACAGACCCTGGAAATAGAGTAAGTTGTACAGGAAAGAACCAGCAAATTTACTCCAGGTCCTGTCCTTGGCTCTGATGGAGAAGAAAATGGGGCCACTTAGTTGTTGAAGCTACTTTTAAAATCAGCCTTTAATCTTCCAATTTAGGTATTCAGTTCTTTGACTCTTATTTAAAAAATATGTAGTATTAAGTCATTACTAAATTTTTATTTATACTTTTATTTCTATACAGAAGATATGTTTTTAAAAAGCACTTTGAAATGAAAGGTAGTTATAGTAAATGAACAAAGTTAGTAAATAGAAATATGATTCTGACGTGTAGTAAACAGGGAACCTAAAAAGCCAACACCTTCTAAAGGACAGTGATTCGATATTTGTACACATAAGAGTAATTTCTTTTTCATCTCAGGAATGGAAGATTGTGAAACAATGGAAGATGTGTATATGGCCTCAGTGGAAACAGATCGGGGAGTAAAGGAACAGTTACATTTTTATGACACCAGAGGCCTACAGGAAGGTGTGGAACTACCAAAGCACTATTTTTCATTTGCCGATGGCTTTGTTCTGGTGTACAGTGTGAATAATCTTGAATCATTTCAAAGGGTGGAGCTTCTCAAGAAAGAAATTGATAAGTTCAAAGACAAGAAAGAGGTAAGTGGGTAAGTTAAAAATGCCAACTGTGAATTATATTACTATTTAAATTGTAGCATGGCATTTGGGGCAGTTAAAATATTTTTAAGCCATCAGATTGTATTTACAGTATCTATAATCTTCATTTTTTTTCCTTAGCCCAGGAAATACAGGACTGACTGAGTTCAGTTGGGACCAGCATTTGACTTTCTGCCTTTGCTTGTTACCATGTATAAGTTGAATTTTAATGACTCCATATCACAAATACTACATAGTTCAGTCCATACTGTGTGGCATCACTGTTTCCTAGGGCTCTTCACTATCTTCTAGGCTAAACAGGATTGTCTTTAGCCTTACTAAAAAAAGAAAAAGAAAAAATGTAGTAATTATTAGATTCTACCCATTTAACACTTAAAAACAAGAGCTTTACCATGATCTATGAAGTCTTACATGACTTGGCCCATGCCTATCCTTTTCATCTTATCTTTGTCATTCTGTTCGTCACTGTACTCCATTGACACTGGTCTACTTTCTGTTTTTCCAACATGATAATTTTGTTCCCCTATTAAGTTCTTATCAATTGCAGATTCCTATGCCTGGAACTCTCGTATCACAGATCTTTTTCCAGACCTTCACATGGCTGATCCCTCACCATCTAGGAGTACATCCTATAATGCACTGGTTAACAGCACAGGCTAGGTGTTCCTAACCTAGATTTTTATATTTTACTTTTATGTTAAATTTTGTGATCACTGTAGAGTCACATGCAGTTTTAAGAAACAGAGATCTTGAACTAGTTTTCCCCAATGTTAACATCATGAAAAACTATAGTACAATATCACAACCAAGATACTGACATTTATACAGTCAAGATACAGAACATTTCCATCACTGCAAGGACCCTTCATGTTACCCTTGTATAGCCACACCCATTTCTCTCCCATTGTTACCCCTTTAGTCCCTGACAAACACTAATCTGTTGGGGTTTTTTTGTTTTTTTAAGAAAGTATCTTTTTTTTTTTTTTTTTAAATATATCTTTATTGATTTCAGAGAGAGGGAAGGAGAGGGAGCGAGAGATAGAAACATCAATGATGAGAGAGTCATTGACCAGCTGCAGCCCGCAACTCGGGCATGTGCCCTGGCCGGGAATCGAACCCTGATCACCTGGATCCTAGGTCAACGCTCAACGGCTGAGCCATGCCCGGCTGGGCAGGTTTTTTTTTAATCCTTACCCGAGGATATTTTTACCATTGCTTTTCAGAGCTAGTGGAAGGGAGAGGGAGACACACATCAATTGGTTGCCTCCCGCACAGGCCCTGACAGGGGCCAGGGATCGAGCCTGTGGAACTTGGGGCCTTTCAGTCCAGGCCAGTGCTGTTGCCACTGAGCCAAATTGGCTAGGGCGTGACTGCTGTGTTTTGGTCACCTGAAACAGGTGCCTGGCTGTAAGCATGTAAGTATATAATTGATTGCCTTGCATTATTTAAATGTAAAATGTTCCTATTGGTCCATACATTCAACAGATATTTAGTGCTTGCATCAGGTAGTTTTCTATGATTAGGAATAATGCGAATAGAACAGAATTTCCTATTCTCATATAACAGGTTCTAGGGGTGCAGAACTCACAGCTTTCGTACTCCTCTTGGTGTATTTGGAAGTACGTTTAGGGAAACAGCACACAGCAGGTATAGTGAAACTGAAATGCAGGTACATTTCAGACAGAACATTATCTGTATCCTAGATATTCATTTCCCTGAGTCTAGCTTCCATTCATACCTGAGTAACTTCACCTGCTGCTAAATTAAAATGTTTCATAGCAGCCTGTAGGGTATCTGCATTTTTAACAGAAATGCACTACAGACAAGAGTGAGGTTCATGTCCTACTTTTTTATTCAGGTCACATCTGAGAATCAGTTGTGTTGAAGAAGTTTGTTAAATAGGACAATTTTCTTTATTTCTGCATTTGGCCAGGAGCTGATGATGTTGGCAAAGTGTGATCTTTTTACCCATTTTTTTTTCAGGTAGCAATTGTCGTATTAGGAAACAAAATCGACCTTTCTGAGCAGAGACAAGTGGACGCTGAAGTGGCACAGGAATGGGCAAAGAGTGAGAAGGTGCGACTGTGGGAGGTAACAGTTACAGATCGGAAAACTCTGATTGAACCATTCACACTCTTAGCCAGCAAACTTTCCCAGCCCCAGAGCAAATCCAGCTTTCCTTTGCCTGGGAGGAAAAACAAAGGGAATTCTAGCTCTGAGAACTAAAAATCAATGCCAGTTGTTTGCTGAATAGTGATTGCCTTTAAGTGTCTGTGAACATATTTAAAATAGGCCATTTGTAGCTACCTTTGGTCCTTCAGAAATCCCTAAGGAAGTACTTAACACACTTTAGGTTACTATTAAATTGTTTGGGCCAAGCTTCTTATTATTGCCTGATATGAAATAACATACTTGCATTCTGGTTGCTTGAAACTTGTTCCTGATATTGGCGCACAGGTAGTGCCTCCTCCCTTTAATGTTTTAGAAGCTATCATTCTGTATAACTTTATGCAGTCTTAGCTCAAACATAACTTTGTTTTTAAAAAATTCACTAGTCATTTAATGCCTAGGATTATGAAATGGAATTTTTGTGTGTGTCTCCAAATTCGATCAAACAGTAAACAGTTTGGGTGTAAGCTGAATTTTATCTGGTGGAGATCTTGCTAAAAAGAACAAAACCTATGGTTTAGCTTTGTTCACATTACACATTTAGCACGGCTTGAGGTAGTAGGTGGTATGTTCAAACTGTTTCTTTAGAAACTGCTGTGCAGATAAGGCCAGTAAAACTTCTATTTTCCACAAGGAGTACTACACCTCCTGGAATAGTTTTCTGGACATGTAGCCATGTGGAATAAAATGTATCATAAAAATATTGGACTACAGGTAGTCTTCAGGTTGGATATCTGAGTTTGGGTGAAGATTCTCTGAAGATTTTGGCAAGATCTGAGCAATGGGGCTTACTGTATTTAGCAAATTGACAATATTTTTACTAATTTTAAAAGCTACTTAGTGGTTTCGATGTGAAAGCAGTTAACTATTTGATTTAAATGTAAAATATGAAATAAGCCATTCAGCGAAGAAATGTGGAAACATCTAGTAAATTTTAACATCTTCAATGGAATACCTTTAGGTTAGGCTAGTGCTGCCACTGCCTAATTCTTTAAAATTTCTCATCACAAATATATTTTTTGGTCAAAAATGATCACTGAGGTATGGTTAAGTCATTCCCTACCTTCTCTTCCACTTACTGTTTGACCTTCCAGCTTTTTTCCTGTGTATTTTACTTAGGTGGATAAATACTTTTACATTTATTTTTAAATAAGTAATATACTAGGATCATCCTGCAGTTTTGCTTTTTTTCTACTGAACTTAGATCTATATTGGCATGAAGATAGTTTATCATAGTCCTTTTAAATGCTTAATGAATGTGTATGTACTTTCACCCCATGCACCTGGGTGAATTTCTCTGGTGTAGATACAAAGAAATAAAATTGCCGCATCCTACAGATGTGAACACTTAGGTGCTGTCAAATTGCTCTCTAATGTGGTTGTACTACTTCATCCATGAGAGAACCCATTTCTCATGTACTTGCCACCGTAGCACCTGCAACTTAGAAATGTTTTTAAAAAGGTTCATCTTTGAAAGATGATGGGTTAGATTACCTAACCCTTTGTTTCTAAGACATCTCAAAATCTATCCTGTGAGGAGGCCGTTGTACAAATTATATACCAATCCTAACACAGGTGCCTGATAAATGATACCAATTCATTCAGTCTGCAGTTACTTCTACGTTGCTTTAGTAGCCAAGATCCAGTTTAAAAGAATCTTCAAACTACAAACACAAAAGAAAGTAAATGAATACAGCAGTGTTAGGTGGTTGTTTTAATAATGTTTATTAGCACAGTAACAAATGCAGACTTAAGTAGTCTGCAACATATAACCAATCCACTGAGCAACTCCTATTCCACGCCTTACAGTTAACAGCTTAAGGTATTTTACTACAGGTTTTCACGAGTCCTGATTCAAACCTCTAATCTTTTCACGATAAAGTAGATTGGCATATAAAATAAAATACATAACTACTCATTTCCTATAAGTGTCTTATAGCACGTGTTCATTTAATATATATGAGATGACAATCTCTAAAAACTTTTAAATATCAATGTTCCCTTCCAAGAAGGGAAAACAAGTTCCAATTTTTTTAAACAAAAAAGTATGTAGTCTTGGAAGGATTTCACATAAATGGCCATGTGTGTAACCTGTACAAAATTAAGCTGGCTTAAATTTACAGACTACAAGCAACTGAATCCAAATGTCTATTCTTCTCTGTACTACATTTTAGCTTATATTGCAGAACGAATGACAATTTAAGTGTTGCTATTACCAATTCTGTCTACTGTAGCAAGATACCTTAAGTTACAACAAAATCTTAGGAAATAAGACTGAATAATATCTGTTATAGAAATACCCTACTCTTTACCAACACCCACCCTCCCCCACCCCTTCAAAACCATAAGCAGCTCTCTCTGTGACAGACAAATAACGTAGGACTTGTGAAACCCAATTTATGTAGCGTATCTCTTGGTCCACTGTCGGGCCATCCTGTCATGTTCTGCTCTGTTGGTCATGTACTGAGTGGCAATGCTTCCCACCAAGGGGTCGGCTGGAAGAGAAGGGCGCAGGTTACTTTGGAGAAAGGAAAAGAGCATTTAGGGTTTTAGCAATTAAGCTGGTGACAGCCTGGCAAGAAATGTGCTAAGTACATGAGATCAAATCCACCTCTGAAACACTATACCATTCTGGGTAGTTTAAAAAACATAGCATACAGGGTAGAAAATTCTTATCAAAATAGAATGCTCAGGCGTTGAGTACTGCTCTGGCTTTGTCTCCTCTGTTCATTCCGTTCCTCTCCCAACCACCACCCAAATAGAGGGGTTTTTGCTGTTACGGGTTAGAAACTGGAATGTTCAAGGCTCTGGACTACAGTGAACATCCAGCTGTGTTCGTGTGCCCTTTCACTCACTCACTGGCAGCAGTTACGATGCTGCAGAGGCCTCTTGGCTACTGCGATGTAAAACTATTTACCTCTACACTGTCTGCCTAGAAAGAACCTGGACGTCCAAGTCAGACCAGGTCAAAACCTGACGTAAGTATAGTGTTTGAATCCTAAATATAATCTTTACAATTAATATTTGCTTTATTTACAAAAATTTTTAGTACAGGAAATTAAGTCCCCCCCTTCCCCACATCGCAATCTGGTAATCAGTAAGTATTCAGCAAAGAAACATCACTTTCAAATTTGACCACCGCCTCAGTAACCAGCTATAGGGCAAGTGCTCGGGAAACCTGCAGACACAGGTGAGGTGACAGGCAGATGGCTCAACATTTAGAAGTCTGTGGTAAGAGAACCATATGAGAAATATACAGGGTGGGGCAAAAGTAGGTTTACAGTTGTATGTGAAACAGTTTATTATTGTGTTATTTTCCATACTCACAACTCTAAATCTACTTTTGCCCCACCCTGTACAGAAGGGAAAGAAATGAGGGAGAATGACTGAAAATGTGAAAACCTGTGGCAGACTCTAAGTCTTTAGTTTAAAATACCTTGTTCCTAGAACATATGTCAATTAAGGGTGAAGTTGCTGCATTTTCCAACTAATAAACTGAACGTCTCTTGAGTAAAAACTGCTTTGAAAATTTTGTACTTTGAAAGCTGATAGATTTTCTAAAGATAAAGTACAGATTTTATTTTTCTTAGTTTATGTGGAAAACAAGTATTTTTCAGGCAAGGAAGAACAAAACAAGGTAAAAAATGATTAACCTTACCAGGATTACAGTCTGTAAGAAGTGAGCAGATAGAAAGGAGGACTTTAGAAATGGTTAGTGCCGGACTCCAGTTGTCTTTCAATATGTCCAAGCAGATAACTCCTTGACTGTTTATATTACAGTGATAGATTCTTGTCCGAAATGTAACCTAAAAAGATAGTATTAAACAGAAAACATCAAATAATGAAGCTTTTTACTAAATTACCTCTTCAACTGAGTGGCCCTAATTAAAAATTTTAAAAAACAAACAGTTTTTAAAAAGGTGAACAACAGTTTAAAGCTGCTAAGAGATAGGTTAAGACACCATTTGATAAATTTGAGATTAAACATGTTCATTGTACAATCTCAAGGACTGTCAATTTCATTTAAAAGTATTCTTCAACAAAAAAGCAAGGTAACTTAAATATTTCTTAAATTCATCTTTTAACAGTTTTAATATTTTCTTAACATTTCCAAGCTTCAAAATAGCTAATTGTTTGCTGACCTCTTGTGTTAGCTGATAGTACTACAAGGCCTCAAAGTAAGCTTTAGAATTGTAAGTTCAAACTGAGGTACAACATAAAGACAATTAAACAATGATCACACACTCAAAAAGCTGTAATAAAATTTGAAGATATTTGTTTTTGCCTTTTCTGACCTTTACATCAGATCCTGCAGATAATCCTGTACAGCGTAGTCACAGAATTCACTATAATGGAGTCTCCACAGGTGAGGAGCCAGAAATTGGCAAGGACCACAGCAGGAGACAGACATGAGCCTGGGTTATTTTGTTTGGTCTAATTTTTATTTGTGAAATACCCTGGAATTGTTCCAAAGTAAAAATAACCTATAACTTTACCACTTATTTTTACTGACCGACTTTTAATCATTTCTTGCTTCTGCAACTGTACATATATCTAACAGTCTACTCCAACCCCAAGAAGAGGTTTTCCTCTGACTGTGAATGAGAATCATATTGTTGAGTGTCAAAGGAGGTAGACGATTTGGGCAATCCCACCTATCCCGGATGTGAAATCTAAAGCCTAGCGAGCAGAATCTGAGGCTTTGGTAGGAGACTTGGAGACTTTGATTCCTAATTGTCTCAGTGCACTGACATTTTAGGGGATTAATTGCTATGTTACTATAAATACAGTAGGTCCCCCATATCAGTTCTGCGTTCCATGATTTCAGTTACCAATGGCCAACTGCGGTCCAAAAATATTAAATGGAGAATTCCGAAATAAACAATTCATGTGTTAATTTATGCTCCATTCTTAGTAAGGTAATGAAATCTCACACCATCCTGCTTGGGACGTGAATCATCCCTTTGTCCGGCATATTGACACTGTATACGCCACCCACCCATAGCCGTCTGGGTTGTCAGATCAACTGTTAAAGTAGTGTAGTGCCTGTTCAAGTAACTCTTATTTTACTTAATGTCACATTCATCTAACTTTTATTACAGTGTATTATATTGTTCTATTTTATTATTAGTTCTTAATCTCTTCCTATGTCTAAGTTATAAATTTAACTTTATCATAGGTATGTATGTATAGGAAAAAACAGTACAGTTGACCCTTGAATATGGGTTTCAACTGTGTGGGTCCACTTATATGTGTGTGTTTTTTTCAATAAATACTATAAATGTATTCTCCCTTATGATTTTCTTTTCTCTAGCTTATTTTTATTGTAAGAATACAATATATAATACATATAACATACAAAATATGTTAACTGACTGTTCATTGGTAAAGGTTCTGGTCAGCAATATGCTATGAGTAGTTAAGTATGGGGAAAGTCAAAAGTTACACGTGAATTTTCAACTGCACGGGGGTCAGCACGCCTAACCACGTTGTTCAAGGGTCAGCTGTATATGTAGACTTGATAGTGTCTGTGGTTACTTTCCAGGGATAAGGGGGGACAACTGTAGCAGGTCTCTTCCAAATGAGGAAACGTCAACCCAAAGGAGTGTTTTGTATGTGTTCAAATGTACTTAGAGATTCATTAAGGCAGCAATTTTCAACTGGTGTGCCACAAGAATTTTCAAAACATGGCAATACTTAGTTAGGGGCACTGACCTCTTTTTCCTTAGACTATTAAATTAATGGCAACAGCCAACACAACAATAGTTGTCCGGTGTGAATGAATCAAAATTATACCTATTTTTGTCAGATGAGCAAAAAAAAAAATTTTGGGGGGTGTGCTGCAGAATTTTAGTAATTCATTGTATGCCATGAGATGGAAAGGGTTGAAAATTGCTACATTAAGATATAATACAAATCTGTTTTTTGTGTGATTAAAAACAATTTTAAAAGCCTCAATAATCTCTTATGGGAATATGTACAGTTAAATACAAACCAGAGGAATCCCTTACCTTTGGAGGCTTGAAGGGGTATTCTGGTGTGAAAGTGATATCGAGGAAGAACACTCCACCCTCATACACGGATCCTGGTGGCCCTAGAATGGTTGATCTCCATTCATAGATGTTATCGCCTTTGGGGCCAGCACTGTGAAATAATACATCAAAAGAGAAGTAGAAGGTGGCACCATCCCAATTTTTACAGTGTTTCAAAAAAGGAAAAAGATCCCCTCTCCTCTCCCTTTTTGTTTACTCTCTGGATCCTCTCCACAAGACAAGTATCTTTTGGATACAATCTGATGCAGGACTGTACTGAACCCACCAGCCTTAGGTCAAGTAAATTGAGTGA